GGGGGGGGGGGGGGGGGGGGGGGGGGGGAGAAGGGGGGAGAGGCGAGGGGTCTTCCGCCCCCTCAGGTATTTTACTGTAGAAAAGTCCAGGAGCTTAGGTAGCAGGTATTTTACTGTAGAAAAGTCTGCCTGGAACCCTCTAACGCCCCCCAGGAACCTTCAAAAGGAGGGAGAGAGGGGGTAGTGTGGCGAGTGAAAGGTGGGTTGGGAGCTGCCCGATGGAAGGAGGGGGAGGGGATTGTAGTGACCAAGGAAGAAGGTGAGGTGGAAAATCGCCCCCCACCCCCCAGGAACAGCCCTGGATCCACCTATGAATGGATTATTCTACGGCATGAATTGAATTACTCCCATGAATTACTCTTCCGAGCAGTTTAAGAAATATACTCAAAATGAGGGAGCAACAATGAGCAACGTAGGAATTTAGATTCCATTCACTTATTCAAATATTTTGCCAATTTGCTGAATGGCAATGCATGAGCAACACGGACTGATCCCGTTATGACTGGAACTTGTACATATCTGTTCATGAAGCGGAGTAATGATGTAGCAAAAAAAAAAAAAAAAACTGCCAAGGTGGCTAAACGGTTAGAGTAGAATGAAAGCTTCAAGTCACCACTAAGAGGGACTGCGCACTTTGAGAGAATTTAATTCAAACGCTAAACTAAGCAGAAAGGCAAGTTAAAATAGTAGGCATACCACCATGAGCCAAATCACTGATATTATAAAGCGTGCACTGATCATGCACTTCTCACCGACTTGAAAAGGCCGCATTCAGCACAAACACGTTAACAGATCACTGATAACAAGTAATAGTGATAAGAATGGCTGATTGATTGAAGGCAAAATACGCCAACAGAATGATCACACAGTGGCCAGGAGAGCACTGGGAAGGATAGGAAGGACGCACGAATTATTCACCTCAATTAAACAACACAACTAGCGGGACTCATAAACAATTAGGAAATCCATAAGAACACAACAACAGCCTCCTCACAAAGATTCTAATCATAATCGTGGTAATAGAAGAATAATGAACCAAAATGTAACATGGTATATATTAAAGATTAAAAAAGAAAATATCAGGAGAAAACGAAACAAGGAAGTGTTACAGTATCTTAACAAGGAAGTGTTACAGTATATGACAAGTGTTACAGTATACACGCAAATGTTACAGTATCTTAATATAAACAAAGGAACGGAAGGAATAACGAGGGCAAAATAACACAGTCCAAAAAATGCATAAAATGAGTTATGAAATTCAGATTTTATCAACGTTCGCTGCTAAATACATTCAACAAGCTTGTGCTAAATAGACCGTTGGAATTCGTCAAAATTGACAGATGCGATAGGGCACAAGTAATCATCAAACGGGAATATATTTGTATTTTTATATTTTACATGTTTTGCACGTTTAGGCGGAGAAAAAACACAGTGCAGGATTAATGGATTAATTTTAGATGAACACTAAACTACGTTAACAGATAAATAATTTGATCAAGAATATCAAATTTAAAAAATTTATAAGAGATGCACAACAGGAAGATGTATTATGGTGTCATTTTCACTCCTGAGTGGGCCAAAAAATTAATCAGTTTTAGAAGTTCAAAAATTTTATGCTCCCATTAACTATTCCTTTGCCAAATAAGCCTCTTTCGCCCTTATGAGTGAATCGGCGATCAGCTTTTGCCGCCCGACAGCTAACTCAACCATTTTTCGCATGACTGCTTCATCACCGGCCACTCCCGACTGACTGATACGATGAATTCGTGAATTATTACCAACAACAATCACCACCGTGTTTGGGATTATTTCGAATAACTCAGGCGCCGGATCGCAAAGGATTTTTACCTGAAAAAAATTTGAATGATAAAAAGTGTTTGTTAAGGTCCACGACGTAAACACTGCTTTATTGCTTAATTCAAAAACATATATCATGATAAAAATAACTAAAAAATAGGCCAATGAATTTCTCGATTTCAAAAAGAGGAATGTGGCTTGAGTTAAATGATCTATCATAGATTACTGGTATTACTAAGACGCATCGCGTGTAGGAGTACCTTAGTAATATCACTAAGTTTGTGTGGTCTTGGTATTTTTAGTATATTTATCCAATTATTTAAATGTTAATAAACAACCATGACGTCCCTAACGCTTAATCGGGTACCGCAGGCTAGTGATTTTACTGGGATATTTCTATACGCCAAGCAAACCTATATTAAATTTTTCGACCTTGCTGTGAGCTGCACACCTCCAGTCAGTGCTGTTACCTTTTTCGTTGCATGTGCAGCAGTAATCATCTTATCTTAAAAAAATTATCTCAAAGATCTATAGTGGAGCATCAAAGACGATTACCGTTTCATCGGGAGCTTCATAAACAATAAAGGTTGATGAAACTGGAAAATCAGCGAGGACAATATGATGAGTACTGTCGCTGAGCTCAACTTTCGTGATATCAATCGGAATATCTTCGTCGCAATCGGTAGAAGCTTCACGAAGTTGTAAATCAACAAGAGCACCAACCACACAGTTACATAAGGCATCAGAGATCGCTCCATCAACACTCAAAATCTAAATGTGTGTTCCAAAAGCAAACTGTATATGAAATCCGGAGCCAGTGCGTTTATGCATTTTTAATAGCTAGCAATTTTTTCAGAAGGCTGGATATGTTTAAGTGAATGAGTCAAGCATTCAGGGCTCCTCACAATAACTACTGTATAAAAAGCACCAAAAATTCGAGGCCGTACCTTAAAGAATTCATAAACAGCTCGTGTTTGGGTTTGCGGTCACTGGTCTGGAAAGAGTGATCTGTTTGAGTCTGCGATCACTGGTCGAGTCATTTATCTTATACGAAGGATAAAAATTGCCGCCGAAATTACAACGGTTTCAAACATGAATTTAGGTTACCCCGCCAAATTACTTGAACTGATCTTTTAAAATTTCCAGTTCCGACAATCTTAATTTTTCCAGTT